AGAGTTTTTGGGTAAGCATCATTTTACCAGTTAAGACATGCTGTGGATTTACAATTCTTTCTAAAGCCGTTTCATCAATAGAGTACATACACTTCAGGCCTAGGCTATGTTCATAATGATAAGTGATGGTTACTAGATCCAATTATGTTGCAACTTGAACCATAGAGTGACCAGCACACTGATTCAGCCATACAGCAAACACATTCAGATGCTCTCAAATGAATGGAAATGACTTAAATGAAAACAACACCAACAACAAAAAGACTGTACAAGAGACAACTATCACACCTGCAGCATGCAACTATACCACACGTCACACCAGTAGGCATATCTGTCTTTGCCATTGCTTTTCAGTTGACTTGGTGACGTGGGAATTCAGATGTGATGAAAGATGGGGGAACGGATAAGGCACTGCCACAGTGAATGGCTCTCCATGCTGCCCAGGGCCTCTCAATGCCAGATGGGCTGTAAACAATGACCCATTTGGGCATCTCCAACTTTGTTTACCTTTTTTTCATCTGTGCAGACAAGGAGAAGATGTGTTATTACACATGTTAATCCAGAGAGAAAGCGTGGTATCATCTTGTCAGATGAGAGTGCAATCTAAATCTATGATTACAGTGAAATCCAGCATTTGGAGTGAAGAAACAGATCTAGTGAGTAAGCTGCTGGGTTTGTTTGGTTCAAGAAATCCCCAATCTTCAGCAAAGACAGGTGGCCTGATAACACTGCCATGGCATCACTGCCAACTCTGCAGTCACAAGCTGAAAAAAGAGATTTAATCTACAAAATAGCTCACTGCCAAATACCTGAGAAGTCTGCAAAAGGTCAGAAGTAAACTGTCTGCAAGTGTGCACACAGCATTCAACACTAAGATAAAAATCAATACACTGAGCCACAAGTGGTGGAAAGAAAAAGTTTCCAAAGTTTAGAAAAATTCCAGAGAGCAATAATGATTAAGACAAAGTAAAAAGAATCACAGGATGTGTTTCTTCTCAACAATGAAAGGACTGAAAACAGGCATCCTTCTCTCACATTAACATCCTTGCATGAGCCAGGGCCATCTGTGATATGCCAGCAGCCTGGCACAGAAACAGAGATGTGGGGGAGATGGGCATGAACAGGAAGGGGCAGGGCTAAGGGAGAGAGACGAGGGAGGAAGAGAGCAAAAACAAACACGAGACCAGATTAAAATTTCTAGGGAGGAAAGCCATGTGACCACGGGAAGGCGAGAATACAGTGGAAAATCAAGAGTGATATCTCATGTTTCTCTGTCTTCCATGGGGGTATCTCCTGTTTTCCACAACAGTTTGCTTGGAACGGCAAAGCTGGCATCATACACATGCCACACGTAAGATTTTACCCCCATGTTGTTTACTCTGACCTACTTCAGATGCAAGCTTAAGACTTGCTGAAACCTGCACTTTATTATTTTGTTGAATATGACCAAAAAGATCTTGTGTGATTGTGGGCAGGAGAGCTCTGAGTCTGTGCAGCGATTTTTACCATGCTATCTCAGGGTAATAGTATGAAGCAAGCTCAACACAGCTAAGCCCTCTTTGCATTGGATGGCTTGGAAAAACCAAGAAAGGCTAGAAAGATAATGGATATAATGGTGGTTATAAACTGTCTTTAACCACGTTTTCCACGTGCTCGCATAAAAGACACTCACAAAACGAACAAATTGATTGGTGCCACAAAAAGGGTAAGAGAGGAATCCATCCATCCATCCATTCATTTTTTTTCCCACTTATGTAATTCAGGGTTGCAGGGGGTTCTATCCCATGGGGCAAAAGATAACGTATACCCTGGGCAAGTTGTCTGTCTATCACAGGGTGCAAGACAAGAATGATGGCAGAGAATTTATTAATGGCATAGTTTTTCTATCATATTTATCTTATCCAGAGCATGCCCATTGCTGGTGTTAACTTCTAACATAAAAGCTGCTCATTAGAACGTCATACATTTAAACATGAAACACATGAAGTACATTTGCACTTTCAGTGACAGATACCTGGAAATTACTTTGACTACTTTGAATGATTCATTTTACAGAATGAATATACTCTGTGATTTTCTGTAAATACCAACAGAATAAAACATGTTATTATCTGTGTTCTATTAGCTGTAATACCTGCAGTATAAAACAGGCTTAGTAACAAATACAGACCGAGAAGAGAAACAATTTTATGCGCTTTTACAGCTGATATAGACGATTCACTGCAGTCTTCAGACACATGTTGCTGTTCAGAGAAAAAAAAGAAATCACAGCTGGAATCAGAATAGAATAAATTCAAAACATTTTAAAAAACAACTGTTGAGGTTTTCTGCAAAATAGCTCAGCTTCCTGAAAGTACCAGCAATCCCACTTAATGGTGTATCATAGAGATGCTGGAAGAGACTGATCTGCCTGTACAATTGTGCTTCCAGCCTGTATGTGCTGACCATCCTGGTTATATATATATATATATATATATATATATATATATATATATATATTTATTTATTTATTTATTTTTTTTTTTTTTTTTTTTTTTTTAAAGCAAGCTGTATAGTAAGCCAAAACAAGACCAAAGAACCCTGCACAAGAGCAATCATAACATCAGTTTTGGCACTGGCTGCTGTGCACAAAGAAGAAAACAGCTTGCATGCACCACCTGTGAGATGTGCAGTATATATATTACTATGGTGATCGAGTCAGGTTCAAAGAGCTCCACCTTGAAAAGTCTGCCTTTAGGCTCAATATACACTACGATCCTATTGATCTCACTTCTTAGTTCATCTCTCCAGTGATTTCATCCTGATTACAGCTTGACAGACAATAACATTGAGGATGTTGATAAAGCCTACTGAAGCTACTCCTTCTTCTACTTTCTTTAGGAGTAAAGAATCTCATTTCCCGTACTACAGTCTGCAGATTATTACAAATGCCCATAATTAAGAAGTGTGCTGTTGGTCTAACTGCACAATGCAGCAACTCTAAACTTAAAATTGAATTCAGACATTGTGTAATATAGCAGTGTAAATACACACTGAAACATCCAGAATGACAGATTAAACAATGTTCAAGTAACTTTTCCACAAAAACTTCAAGCTTCTCAAATGTAACTTTTAATATGTTTGCTTGGCCCTTTAAAAAATAAATGAAACACCTTAGAATTTAGACAGGACAAGATATCTGAAATGTCAATTAATCCAATTCTGTTTTATAGTCACTCAATCTATAAAACATCAGAGAAGGAAATTAATTGTCTTATATTTTGTATTCTGTGACCAACAGCAAAAAATCCAGAGTAAAAATCATTTGGGAATGTGTAATTATGCACAATAAATAGCTTCAACTGATTCATTAATCAATAAACGGCTGCAGATTAATTCTTCAGATATCACTAAGGAGGCAAGGAAACTCCTTTGTAAGACATTTAATGATTCAAATGGCCAATAAAGAAAATAAATGGATAATAATTACCTAAACTGCATCTGCTATGACAGTTTAACAACACGTGAAAGAGTTCTGCCTGTTATTTTGTTTATCCAACAGTACCTAATGGAAGACCTTCAGCTCAAAGCTACAACAGTATATATGAGATGACTACATGATCACTTGAATCATGATTAACATCCATTGTCAACTGTCCACTAGAGGGAGTTTTAATCTGTCTTTAGGGAAAAATAAAATAAGAGTACATAGATCCCTCTTCCACATTCTCCATCCACTGGACTGAACTACAGCTTTGCGTTGTCCAGTTGAGGAAAGCTCGGGGCTGCTTCCTGCTGTCAGCGTGCATGATATCATCATCCAAATGAGGCCTTCGAGTCTCAGTGTGTCTTTGCATGCTCAACAATGGCATTCTATCTTTAAAGTCCTTTTATGTGATGCTATGTGTCACTGCGCTGTAATGCTAAAGTCAGACAAAACAGGTTTAATTCCTGCCAGTGGATGAAGTGGTTTGCATTCTTTCATCTTGCACAGTACTGACGCAGCATGTTTTCAGTACCCTAGGCAAAGTATTCACTGAGGCCACTGACTGCCACAAGGCTCCCAGCAGGCTATGGGGCAGGTTCAGCTGCTTCCTGTCTGCTCACCTCCTGTTACACAGAGGGTGCGATGCAGGGAGTAGCACCACTAATAACATGCAGACACACTGCTGGTAGAGAGCGAACCGGCATCTCCTGCACTGTCCACTTCAATGATTGAGCTGAGTGTCATCATGCAATCAGCTGGCCAAACTGCCATGGAAAATGAAGGCTGTCTGAGCACACACAATGTAAAATAAATCCTTTACAAAATTATCTAAATAGGGAGAAAAAATAACAAATCACAGGACATGTTTTTGTACTTTGAGGGGGCCAGTCATGCTAACTATAGTCCCCCTTAAGCCTCCTGGGAGAGGGAGAGAGAATAATCCTTGTTGCAGTCTCAGAAGGACGGAAATAATTAGTTAATACCTTTGCACAGTCTAAGCTTGTGATTTCCTTGTGTCTATGTAACGCAAGAAAATGAACTCCCCTTGTGCATTTGCGAAACTGTCGATCGCCATACTTCAGCGATGGTATGTTCCTCCATGTCATGTCTACAGCTACTGCTTGTCAATCAGTCTTCCAGTGTAAACCATTTAAAATTTAGTGGTGACCAATTTGCAACTCAGCATACTCCTTCATGAGACTAGAGGCTGATTGACAGCTCCCTGAAGACATCTCCATTACACTATCATGATGAGTGAGAACACAGAGGAGAAAAGATAGAGGGCTTCCTGTGGGAGTCAGGCATTCTTCCACTAATATTAATCACGCATATATTTATCGTAGAGGGAAAAATGTGAAGACACTTTTAGATAGCTCTGGTCAGCATCCATCTCATGGATTAAAAATGTGACAAATAAGCCTTTTTTTCACAGATATGAAAAAGATAATTGTGCCTTGTCTGTAACTGCTGCATACACAACGAATTGGTGTCACAGAAATTTTGTTAATGAGATGAGACAATTTTACTGCCTTACCTGCAGCTCACACCAGGCCACCTCCACCCAGGTCTCAGTATCCAGGCCTTTGTAGACTGTCTTGAAGGAACCTCTCCCCAGCTCTATGTCAAATTTAAGGAACCTTCCCCCTGGAGACGTGGAGACTGCCTTCATCTCTGCCTCCTCCTCATTCTCCTCACTGGCTGCCTTGACAGCAGCTTTACCACCATCACTGCATGTAACATTTAGCGCGTCTCCACCTTTCTCCTTGTCCTCATCGGCGCTGGCGCTCTCTGTTGCACTGTCTTTAAGCCCACCTTGACTTTCAGTGCTGGATCCCTCCTGTATCCCACAGCTGGTCCCCCTTGACCTGTCCACAATTGTTCGCAGGTTAATGTTTAGGATCTTACTCCTGTTATTACATTCAGGTGCTTCAAAGGCCTGCTCATCTGTGTCTGAAAACCATAAACTTCTCCTGATGAATCTCTGATGCACAATCCTCTGATAACTGGAGGAAGGATATGCGCTGGGGTCACTCCCACCTCTCACTACAGAGTCCACAAGACTGACGGGTCCATCACCCATGGCCTCGCGCACATTTTTGCCCGGTTCACACTGAGACTTGGTTACAGGCGAATTTCTCAGGTCTTGATGGTCCCCGGAGCCTGATTTAGACTCCGGCTCCATGGTGACTTAAAAGTTCAGTCGCTTTGGTTTCCAGGTCATTCGTGCCATCACGGGTAGACTTTCCAACACGCAGATCGACAGATGAATACCTGCAGCGCCCACTCGGTGACGCAGTTTGCCGGGAGAGGCCCTTAACAACACTGGGATGGATGACATAGACAAGATTTTATCCGCTAATAATAATAATAATAATAATAATAAAAGAACCTGCAAAAGAAATACGATATGCCCCAGTTATACATTATTGCTAAAGCTATCGATGGGCGTTAAGCATGGTAATAATCACTGAGGTGAAGTTAGCTGCTGTCAGTAAGAGGGGGTTGACAAAAAGACAAGCCCAGGAGTTAAAGCATTGCTTCCAGAAGCCATCGTCGTCCAGGTGACCGAGAAACTAGCAAGCTGGCTTCGGCGACATAAGTTTGGCAACTAGCTAGCACTAAATTCCCCCCAGTATACCCACAATATTATCTTACGTTCAAATACTGACATTAAAAAAATAAGGCACGACTTACCTTGTTCAAAAAAGGGGCATAAAAAACACCCTCGAGTATAACTGACGCTAGTGACACACAGCAGAGACAAACCTGCCAGGTCCAGTAGCAGCACTCAAAAAAAATCCTCGCCAACGTTAGCCGACTGTCCACGACAAAAGGTGGACTTCAAAAACGCCCTATCTGCATATTATCTCCATTTTCAAGCACAGGAGCCGCCCCAGCGACCGCAAACAAATTCGGGCTTTCTTAACTGAACACATACCACATGCTGACAAGAAATAACTGACGAATTTCTTGTATTTATCTCCTTTTAAGTCCCCGCATCCCTCTCTTCGGTTGCAGCTCCCGATGCGACTCTCCCCACTGTTTCTTCTTCTTCTTCTTCGCTGCCGCGTAAGTAAATAGCACACACGGGTCGCTTTAAGACTCGGGTTTTTTTTATTTTTCCTGTAGTCCCCTCGGTAGTTAACTTAAACCAACAGCTGTTTGCGCTTGTCATCGCCTTCCACCATTTGGTTAGTGCACCGGTGAGGTACACCAAATGTGTTTCCCATTCAGTTCGCTTGGCTCCACGCCCCTGGTGAGGACTATAGAAGGGAGGAGGATGGAGGTGGGGGGAATGGTCCATCCAATCATACGGCACTCTGGGACGCCACAGAAAGCCTACTCATCATATTGTGTGCTGTCCAACAGACAGAGTGACACGGGGTGAGACAAAGGCTGATTAGAGTCAGTGCAAGTAAATTACACAGCAATTGAAAACATAAATAAATAATTTCTCACACCCTTTGCAGACTCAGTCACGTGTCTTAACTCCCGAGCCTGCTGTTGAAACAACATTTTTCCATTATCACTGCTGTTGTGTCACTATAATATAGTAGTTACACGTGCATCAGTAGCTCTGTCACGTAGCCTTGGCTACGTGCTTGCGGGTCCAGTCTTCTCTACCCCTACAGGATATTTTGCCACTTTGCTGCAGCCTGCATCTGAGGTGTAGCAGCTCTTCGCACAGGGCAAAAATGAGCAGCAGCATCAACAGGTTAAGTGGCACCGAGGTAAGATATTTGCAGCCCCTTTTTAACATTCATCGAGGGAAAATGTAAATCCTCTGGTTTATAGATGTCTATAGGCTAAGTAGATTGATCATACAAATTGACATGCTCACAAGTGCAATAAATAAAAGATGCACGAAGAAAGATTACCTGATTAATAAGAGTATTCTTGCTGTTTTGCATGCTTTTATACAGTAGAATAGAAGGAGTGTTAATACAGTGCAAAAATGCACGGACCGCAAAGCAATCGCTTGGATATGGGCACTTGGGAAATGTGCTGTCATGCAATCATTTTTGTTTAGGTTGAATTTTTTGTTGCAAGAAGTGTTGATTCATTGTCGTGGTCATTTCTGTACCCAGAGTTGTCGGTTGTTACTTTTTATTGTAAGCCGATCGTGTAAAAGTATCCACCTCCTGCGGTTTCTGCGCTTCCATGCCACTTCTGTGCCTTTTCTCATGTTACATGTCATCTGCATGTGAGGTACATTCAGAGGTGCATACGCTTTGCAGAATAGAAGTGGTGCTGAATAAGACGGATTTTATGTCTCCGCAGAAGCATTTGACCAGACATCTTAAAGTCTTTTGCAAGCATGCTGGGTCAGATGACAGTCTGGTCTGGCTTAGGGGTGAAGTATTGTTGGTACCTGAGTGACCTTATAAACAATGAATGCCCTCCTTTGTTACCAGTGCACTGGCTTAAATGCACACATAAAAACAGACACAAGGTTTTACTTTTGTATTACATCATCCTGCTTCATGCCACAACTGTAAAGCTCACAGATTGATTACTTTAGTTTATTAGGCAATTGAAGCTGCCATTTAAGAGTAGTTCAGTCCTGCATCTAATGTGCAGCATCCAGTTTTACAGGGCAGGGAAATGGACTTCACTCTGTTATCCGCATGGTCACTGTCTTAATAGCGCCATTTAATTTCAGATGTGTGTGTGTGTGTGTGTGTGTGTGTGTGTGTGTGTGTGTGTGTGTGTGTGTGTGTGTGTGTGTGTGTGTGTGTGAATTTGAGGAAGAAGGCAGGAGGAAGAGAGACCCTGGCAGCCACAGATACTTCCTTGCAACAGTCAGAGCTCAGCCAGCATTTGCAAAATGTAATACCCTTACGCTCGATAAAATGAGCAATTGATCTCATTTACAATGTGTCCCCCACCAGTGTGAGTCAATATGAGTGGGTTTTTTTTTTCAATCCGTGGCTCTTGTAGGGTGAATATCTCACAGGAAGACTTTCTGCAGGCTTTTAATATTCTTGCCTGCCTTTCACTGAAATCTAAGACCGATGAGATGAGTCAGATTTCACTTTCTTTGATAACCCGTAGTTTAAACTGCAGCTTTTCACTAAATGAGAAAGTGTTTTTGATTTGTTTGGGGTTTTTTTTCCCACCATAAGTGCCTTAGCTGCATAGACCACACTCAGAAACAGTCATGTTTGCTTTGCTTTGTGCAAGGCTGTAAAACTAAAAGCTCTACAGAGATTCATGGAAATTAGATTTACAGTTGGGTCGATTGTCATCTGGAAGCTGGCCAGATTTTGAGGTGAGTGAGAGAAGAAGGCTGCTGATAGGACATGATGGATGGAGAGCAAAGAAGTGCTTATGCACGAGGAAAAAAAAAGTAAGTGAAATACTCACTCATGCAGTTAGAGTTAATTTAGCATTTCATCATATAGCTGAACACGGGCTCAATTAACTAAATAATAAATGTACGGTTTCACTGTCTTAAGTGGTGTCTTGCTTTGATGCCTTGAAGAGCTTTCTACATGTCAGACACAGAGCTTAACAATACAAAGCTAAAGGCACTGCATACTCTCTAAGTAACTTACATGCGGGTGTAATCAGTTAGTGTGACGACATGGGAAAAGGAGAAAAGTTTAGGATTAGGTGTGCAAGTTGAATGAGTTCATTTAGTTTTTGGGAAATCAGCCAAAACGTTCATTTGCTTCTGAATACACAATGAAAAATGGATTTATTTGATCTGAGGTTTGGGTTAAATCACGGGAATTAAGAAATTGCAGTCTTTCCAAAGTTGTAAAAAGCATGTATTATACAACTCTGCATCTAGCTTTAGCATTAAAAAAATATGAGAAGTAGCGAATGTGAATTGAAGGGTCTTTTATTTGTTTTTCACCCTTGGTAATCCTTTGCATTCTGCAACCCGGGTTGAAAGGTAAAATAATGTCATATTTTCTCATTCAATTCAATTCAGCTTCAATTTTATTGATATAGCGCCAAATCACAACAACAGTTGCCTCAAGGCGCTTTATATTGTAAGGTAAAGACCCTAGAATAATACAAAGAAAACAGAGGAAACCCCAACAATCATATGACCCCCTATGAGCAAGCGCTTTGGTGACAGTGGGAAGAAAAACCTTCTTTTAACAGGAAGAAACCCCCAGCAGAACCAGTTTTATTCTCAGTTTTATTTATGTGATTTATAGGAATGATTTCAATTGCTCAGTTAAGCGCTTAGGTCAACATTCATTGTTTGAAGAAGCCCTATATAAATAACTTACTGATTAGCTGGTTTCCCTTCTCATTCCCACATTGTAGTGTTAGTGACACCTTACAGCAGAAACTGAATAATGTTAAATATTATTACATGATTTCATCTGTTATTCCACAGTGACACATAACTGAGAGTTAAGATCCAAACAACTTTTATGTCTCTGACTATCTCCCCCTCCCTCGTTACCTTGCTCCTTCTCTCCCCTCGGTGTATCTCCCCCGAGACTGATTCAGACTAGAAATGCACTGTGAATAATTCATCACAAAAATCAGCACTGAAACCTAGAACCAGTACAGCACAACTGATTTAATGAGAACTTTTCTCTTTTTTTTCCTACAGTTTAGATAGCTATAAATCTGGTGTGCCTAGATGACTGACAAGCACTGGGTTTCTCTGGGATATAAAATTCTTTCCAAAAATGCAATTGTGAACGAAACGAAAACCAGGATCACGTACATTCTCTTTTTAAAAAAAATAATTTGTTGCATGTTATCCCTCCACTCCACTCACAGCTGTTGAGTAAGACACATTATAAGAGCCTGTATTTGCTATCATTTTTGCACTGAATGTCTCCTCTGCTGTGATTAGTTGTTGTGCTATTTTGCCAGCTGTATGATGCGAGTAGACAGCAGGATTAATCGTGATAAATAGCTTGGGCAGACAGAGGAAATGACCTTTAGATTTGGCCTACGCACATGTCAAAAAGGAGTTCTTTTTTGGAAAAAATAGACATAGTGACTCCATATTTCCAACCTGCGATCTCACAACAAGTATTATCTCACTGTGGTCTGTTGACTCTGGGATAAAGGGCTGTATTTTTTGAAAAACCTATGTCAGTGTGTGAGAGCAGAAAGGCTGACCCTGACACGTCATGACAGTATGCCATTTGTGGTATTTGGAGCAGATCACAGTCACAGGACACCCTGCCACACCACATTGCTTTCCAGCGAAAATGCATGTTTGGCTTCACAAAGCATGTCCTAAAATGTGTTTTAATTCCTCGTTGTGAAGGTGTAACACAGTGCAGTGGATCTTTGAGTTGAAAGGAAAAAACACATTTTGTTTTTTGTTTTGTTTGTTTTTTTTTAGCATTTGCTGGATACTGCCGAGATGTCTCTGAAGTGTTCACATGAATCTATGATAAAGCATAAAAGTTAAACTGATAAGTAGAATGCCAGATGATGAATTTGGCCAGTAACCCATTTAATACATCTTCTAAAAAGCAGAGATTTATTAAGAGAATTAAACATGGCTTGTCCAGTGGTTATCACAGGATTAAAAAAAAAATCTAAATAATTACTGCAACCAGAGTACCAGATCATTACCAACCCCATCGACCACACCTTCTGTTCAGAGTGTACTTCCCCTCATACATCAAGTTAACCCATGCCAGTTGATTGCTGTGAATCTCTTAAATACATTGTAATTCAGCTGTAGCCTCATCCATGGTAAATTAGAGGGTGCAGCTTTTCTTTCCTTTCTTTTTGTCTTTATCCCTCGAGCAGAGGGAAGACAGCTCGCACCACTTCTGCAGTTTGGTTAATCTCAGACAAACTATGCTCTCTGCAGCTGCAGGGAGTGTTATGATAAAAACGGAAGATTTTGGTGTTCAGGAAGAGACTGCTGATTTTTTTTTTCCTTCTCAAAGAAAAAGAGGCATTGGCATTGGCATTCATGCTTTGACCTTGTCGCCACTGAATTTTAAAATGTGGTTCTCAGGTGTAATGAGCCATCATTTTTTATAGAGACAGACTCCGTATTCACCAATAAGATAACTTTTTTTCCAGAACCTTCTGGTCCAGTGGCTATGTATGGTTCTCTCTTTGCAGTACATAGTCCACTGACATGGAGTGAATACACAAACACACTCACAACTGAGCTAATCTAATGTTGCATCACGCTCACCCACACAAGAATCGATAGGTTACACAACTCAGAGTAAAAGTAACTTTCTTAAACGCTTTTGATCAACTGCTGATTAATCATAGAAATGAATTACCATATTTACTCACCTCTCTTCCTAAGTCCCTGGTTTATTGAGTATAAAATATAACAAAATAATAAAGCACATTTTGTTCTGAAGTGAACATTTATTTCAATTCAGTTCATATATTCAAGCTGGATCTTACCTTAAAGACCTCATAGTATCACCCTATCACCCTAAAAGAGCATTTTACTCTCAGACTTCTGGCTCCCAGTTTGGATCCAGGAGACAGATAGCCTCTCTAATTTTAAGATTAGGCTTAAAGCTAATACCAGCTCACAACAACAGTCATCCCAAGGTAAGGTAAAAATCATGCAATATTAGAGAGTGAACTCCAAAGATCCCCCAACAATTGTGGGGAGGAAAAGCTCCCTGTCAACAGGTAGACCCTCTGGCAGAACAAGGCTTAGAGAGGGACTGCCGTCTGGACAGAGGACCATAGGCGCACGATGAGCCACGAGCAGGACATCACAGAAACTGCTGAAGAAAGTAGATAAGAGTTAACAAGATGCAGCAGTGGCCTATGAGTGTATGGGAAGTAAAAGCGAGGAGCGAAGAAGAAGTGCTCAGTGCATCCACTAGCACCCTGGGTTTAGAGCAGCATAACTAAAGGAACTTGATGAAACTCTTAGATTTGTCAAAAAGGAAAGTGAAAGATTAATTTTAAGAGTAGAGAGGGTGTCTTTCTTCAGAACCAAAACTGAGAGTAGGTTTCACAAGAGAAGGTCCTGATAGCTGAAGGCTCTACCTGCCAAAAGATGGGCAAACTGAGGTAAACTGCTATCATATAACACTGGTTCTTCTTGTTTTTGCTCAGCCCATTTCTGCAGCTGTCCATCAAGCTTCAAGAGAATGTGATATGGGCAGAATATGAACAAAGGATCACTCTATTACTCTACACTGATAGTTTTTTTTACAGATAAGAAAATCAATCATTTGACTGTTTTGATTTATAAAGTCAACAAATACTGGAATAGAGGGCAACAAGTGCGGCGCAGGCTCATAGAAGCAATATAAAATGCCCAGAGCTCAATGCTCATATGACACTAGTGAAGGAGAAAATGTGCAGACTGAAAGTGATCGCTTGAAACTATTCGCACAAACGGCATATGCTGACTTCGTGTTTGTCATGTTTTAATGGTACTGTTACCGGATTGCCAGTATCTCCTTGCTGTACTAATGGCTCTGTTTTCAAAGGTCACTCTTCTGTAATGGCTGTTGTTGTTCTAATTAGGTCAGAATGATAACCAGATCCTCACCATCCATGCTCAGGAAACACAAAATTACTGCTAGTCTCATCAAAATGATGCCTTGTTGGCTCTACTGGAAGAACAAAACACAGCACAGAGCAAGCCTTTCTGCTTGTTTCCCGGCGTTCTTCTTTCTGTCATTATCTGCAAGCCATAAACATTATCTCTGTGCCAATTACTCTCTTCTCTCCCCCAGACCACCCATCCAGATGCTTGGCAGAGCCAGTCTCTGAACATGAACCACTATGCCAATAAGAAGAGTGCAGCTGAGAGTATGCTGGATGTGGCCCTGCTGATGGCCAATGCCTCCCAGCTAAAAGCTGTCCTGGAGCAGGGGCCAAGCTTCCACTTTTACACCCCCACCATCACCCTAATCAGCATCTCTCTGTGTCTACAGATCACAGTCGGGGTCCTGCTTATCTTCATAGGTGAGAAAGTAAACATAGCCTGAGCCCTTCTGGTGTATCAGAGGTGTTTTTGCTGTCTGGCATCTCACATCCTTTACTTGCCCACTTCATCCTTCCTATTCTAGCAAGATTACAGCGATCTATATGCCACATTTTGCCCTACAATGCACCCCCTCCCCCATAAATGTCAAGTCTACTGACTCCTGACAAACAACCTATTAGGAGCTGGATTCAGTCTCTATAGCAACCAGGACTGAGAGGTCAAAGGGTTCACTAGGTTTTACTGCTGATATCAGCACTGCTGGGAGTTGGGAGAGGTGCTGTGTATGTGTGTAAATGTGTCAATATGTGTCAGTATGTATGTATCTCCATGTGTTGGAACAAAGAGAAAAGCCCAAAAAGAGACAGATGCAGCAACAATTTTTTAGGAGGTCTGCTGATATCTCGGGTTGAAAAATTTGTGCGTGTAAATAAAAATAATATAAGTTGGGGATAAATAAACTAATTTAGTTTTTTTTTCCTGACACACTGAACAACAGGTTAATGAACTTTAAGCCAGTCACAATGACTCAGCTGTTGATGGATGAGTAAATAAAGTGAGTTTTGTTTGGTTAGTGTGAAACTAACAACCCCACATGTCTTATCTACCTCCTCTGTGAAACTGCTGAAAAAAAATCTTAAAATAATCAATTATCAATCAGATATTTCAAAGCACGCCCAAATGAATATTTCCTCCCTTGTTGCTCAGATTTCTGCAAAAAAAATATTATATCATCATCAACATTGTTACAGTATGAGTATACAGTACAATCAGATATTATTAACTCTGACATTTGCACATTGAGGTATTCACATTAAAAACGTCACATGTCCATAAGACACATCCAGCACGTGAGAGTCATCACTCATTCATTGCCCCTTTGACCTCCTTCACCAGACTTAAACAGCATCCCTTGCCTTTACCAAAATATCACACACATTTCTCATTACTCTTTTCTTCATTTTTGTTTACTCTTCTGAACTTCTTTGGCCTCTCGTCCTCACATCCCTCCCTCCCCGTTGGATCCAGCTCTCTCTAATGAAGCCAGTGGTGCGTGATGTGAACGGCCTACATACTGGCCACCCCAACCAGACTCTAGCCCCCACCAAGACAGATCAGATACACACACACACACATCACAGGAAGCGTTCTTACGCTGTTTAACCTCTGGTAATTTCCATCAAATACACACACCCATGCACATATACATGGCTACTGCACACCCATTTGTATGAATATGCATTCATGTGACCATTATTCACAGGCGACTCCCTGTACTGCTGATGACACCATAGTAATGTCTTTGTCACAACACTAATTAGCTGTTTTCATAACATTTAACACATGCCATGATGCTATTAAAACACAAAAGAAATGACACAGTTGCATATAGGAAATACAAGCTTCCCTTGATCAGTTTTCTTCCCCTGTATTGTTCTTTCTCTGTGATTTGAACCTGACACTTGTTTTCTTTCCCTGTGTGACATTTATGCCTGCGATGTATAGTAAATGTATCACATCATATACATGTTTACATTGGGGGACGCTATTGTTACAAATCCAATTCCAAAAAAGTTGGGAAGCTATTTTAAATGCAAATAAAAACAGAATGCAATGATTTGCATATCTCACAAACTCATATTTTATTCACTATGAAGAATAGAAAACGTATTAAATGTTTCAACTGAGAAACTATACTATTTTAACAAATGTATTGGATGCCGTTAGTAGCAACAGGTCTAAACAAAAGTTGAGACAGGGCCATGTTTACAACTGTGTAGCAGCGTCTCTTCTTTTAACAACAGTCCATATATGTCTTGAAACTTAGGAGACCAGTTGTTGGACTTTTCGGAGAGGAATTCTGTTCCATTCTTGTCTTATTCTGAAATATAGGATTGTAGCTGCTAAATAATTCTGGGTCTTTTTTGCCACATTTTTGGTTTCCATGACAATTTCATGTCTGTTTTTTTATGGCAGTGTCGCCTGAGATTCCAAAGATCACGAGCATCCAGTATTGATTTTCATCATTGTCCCATGTGCACGGAGATGTTTCCAAATGATTGGAATCTTATGACGATGTTATGAGTTGTAACTGATAAGATGTTCAAAGTCTTCACGATTTACAAAGAGGAACACTATTCTGAAATTGTTCCACAATTTGTAGACGCAGTTTTTTTGCAGACTGATGAGCCTCTGCCTACTGCACCATTACTTTTGACAAACTCTGCCTCTTTAAGATGATCTTTTTGTACTCAGTCATGTTACTGACCTGTTGCCAATTCAGCTAATTAGTTGCAAAATGTTCCTTAAGCTGTTTCATTTAAGTACCATTTACTTTTAAAGCGTTTTGCATTTCCCTGTCCCAACTTTTTTAAGTGATCAAATTCAAAATGAGCTAAAAATTTTAATAACATAATAAATTGATTGCAGTAGATCTAACTTTTTTTTTTAATCTGAGTTTCCTCTAAGTGAAAAATGAAAAACTGAATATTGCATTGTTTCCTTACATGCTTGCGTCATAAAATAAAAGACACAAATAGATGTATGAGCATTCTGAACCCAGAATTAAGTAAATATAGATTTGTGGTTGACAGTAAATCTTTGCACCATAATGAGTTGGCTTTAGTCCCAGAATAGAGTAGATTGTTGTGCAATTAGACATTATCTGAGTTGTGTGTTGTTCTGCTTTTGTTCACAGTTCGATGGAACCTGAATGATGAGCAAAAACACCAGAGGCTGAACTTCATGGAAAACTTGGCTACAGGTCTGGTGTTCATCATCGTGGTGGTCAACGTCTTCATCACAGCTTTTGGAGTCCATCGAACAAATTACAGCAACTGACCACGCACACACACACAGGCACATCTATGTATGTGTGTATGCATTATTTTCACAGTCTTTCACTGCTCCCCTCTCTCTTTTCAAACAGGTATTTTCTCTCCTGCCTTACTCTGCAGTTTGCTCCTAAAAACTTTCATGTCGTCAGCATGTTTTTGCTCTACTCCTCTTCTGACCGGACCTTCACAATCACCTACATGACCTACAAACACAGTGACCTCTCCAGGCTCGCAGAGAAATTTCCACCAGAAAACAACTCGAACAAAATACACAGCTGTTCATTTACCAGAAAATCATTGTCCCGCATGGCTGCAGGCACCGAGAGAAAATAGCGAACAAGAGAGAAACAGCCGTAGCGACAAAGAGGTCTGGTACGTAAACAACACAACATTTGTTCTGAATGGACAAACAGGAAAGTGGAGACAGCAGCAGTCAGGACCATGTGACCTCATGCTGTCTGTCTCCTATGCTGTCCGACAGTGACCCGACGCACTAGCCAGACATGGATGCACAGTCTCACACACACACCTGAACACTCTTTAATTTTTAATTGCACCAATGACGTTTGATCATGTTTAACGGGTGTGCTGAGCACATGTATGCAGCACAGGGCAGGCCTCATCCGCCTCAAAACCACTACCCACCTCCACAGCTTTAACTTTACTATCAACTCTACCCCACAGGTGTCATGCCTAACATTCAGTTATAACAGTGTTTGGTTGTGCTATGAATCCCTCTGTGACGAGCAAAGCCGGACTTTGTTTGTGGTTCTTTGGACCAGAAGTAGCTGGTGAGTCAGAGTCAACAGAGCACAGACCCCGGCAGAACTACTTGTTAAAACAGAAGCCTTAATTAGGCAGCAATGCCACTGAAACCCCAATTAGAGCACAAGCAAATGCTCATTTTATACACTTGAGTGGTTTGACATAAATATCCAGTAAAGAAAATTTGAGGCTGTTTCACATAATTATCAGCTAAAAACCGTAATCGCATTCATGCAGCTATCTATAATTTCTCCAAGGTGGTTGTGAGGAAGCACCTTTCAGATGGCAAAACGTCGCAATCTCATCCTTTTCCTCCCCTACAACTATCATTGGTAACCGTGGAAACAGCCACACTGAAAGCCAGATTTGATGATACACACAGCTTCACTTGGAGGAGATCTGTAGATTGATATATATACATAATGTATATCCATGGCTCCTACCACTCTGTCTTGAAGTTTAACAAAGTGACTCTGTGGGGGCTGCGCATCAGAGGATGCTGATGATCAACGAGGACTTTTAGTTCCTTTGAAGCGAGTGTATTAATAGCTCTCTCGTGGGAATGTGGATGCCAGAGTGTGAACTGAACAATCACTCTGGTGACATTTCCAGCCCCCTTTAGCACCTCCCAATTCCTCCTCCCTCTCTCTTTGACTCCCCTCTCATCTGTTGCTCTCACTTCGCAGGGAAGACAGTAGCAGAAAAATGCTGCCGAGTGCAGATAATCTCCTGAGATCAGACACCTCTGCTCTGCTGCTGTGATGTAGACCTTACCTCTGATGTGACTACTTTCCTGCACATTGTTTATTACAAGAAACAGAGAGCATTCAAATGCACCCATCAGGGTATTTCAAAGGCATTCTAGCTAGCAGCATTTAATAGAGCATTTAATCAAGTTAGCTTAACTCATTCAACCAAATTGATTGCCATTATTCATTAATGAGGTCTGATCCCTGCTTCCCATTGTCATTGTTATAGCACGCTTGAATATTTTTGTTTTTTTGTGTGTGTGTATGAGTGAGGAAGTAGCGCCCTCTAGTGTATGTGTTGCTGCTGTTGAATCAATTAGATGAATAATTTAACATAATCTCCATTTCATGATGACAGTGCAGTGAACAGTGCCAGAAACTAACCCGGAAAAGCTAATCAATGCACTCCTAATTACCTTTAATTCCCCTTTGTTGCTACACTACGGCAACATATACAGCATTTAATTAATGATGTTCCCATTTCTGCAAAGATCTTTGTCAAATATTTGTTACACAAGACTAAAAATAAGATGCAAACACAGGTGATCCAAATTTGCTGTGCTTTATTTGAAAATAAGTAACACTATTAGAGTGCCCTTTATTTTGCAAATTTCATAAAAGGCACTGGAAGTGGGCTAAGGTGTGAGCATACATGTATTTGTTGTGTATTTTAAAAAAAAAGAAAATCTTTGTTGTGAAATGCGTTAACAAACGGAGCAATGAAAAAATCAAGTTGTTAAATTAAGTGCAAACCAAGAGCCTTCCCACACAGATGCTCCTACTTGAAGCTCTCCTCAAAATACACTTCATTGCCCACTCTTGGGTTTGTTGCACCCAAACAACCGACTCAGTCTTTAGTAAGTGAAAACAGCTTTGTGGGAGTGCAGCTGCACAGTTACACTTGGTTATTATTACGCTTTAAGCATTTTAGTTAAAAAAGAAAAAGAAATTCATAGCTATCTACAAACATGAAATCCAGGCAAGAATCATACATACAAGTACTCTGGAAGAACGTTGCATAGTTCTGCCATTTCAGATGTACGCTGTGAGAATTTGTGACAGAATGTGTCAGGTCAAGTTACGTTCCTCCAATTAGTACTTTCGTACATAAATTAGTATGTGAGGTTTAGGAAAATGATGAGTTTGGCACAGAAAAAAAGACATTTTTCATGGCTTCTTCTTCTCATTGCCTCGATGTTTTCATTTTTTTTACTTTCCAACTTCTCCATATGAAATGAAAACATCTCTAGCATCTTTACTCAGTCTTACAGCCGAGCAGTGAAGAAACACTCCAGTGCATCTCAAGGTTTCACCCTCTGTGTCTATAAAGAAGAGCAAAAAAACTGAGTTTTGTGTGTATGGAAGGTATGTTTTGAAATGTTGAACATGATCAAAGTAAGTAAAGTAAGTCTCAAGTCTGTGTCCCTCTCACTTTTTGTGCCACGACTCACCTCCGTAATAGTAGAGTATTGCAATTCCAACTACAAAACCGAAGCAGCTCAGGAAGAACATTGGTCCTGCAAGAGGAGAGAATAAAGTCATTAACTATACAATTATCTGATCAGTCTGCAGTGGCTCATACCTGCTTAATAAATTAGATGATCCAAAAAAAACTAAATACCACAAGCAAACTGAAATAATAGCCGATATTCTGAATGGCAAAGTCAAGAGTCCTAAATCTGCTCTGTGTACATAAAGTTGTCTTGCTCACAAGCTAAACAAGCTCCTTGGTATGACTTATGATCAGGAGTCAGTGTTTCACGGCATCTCTGATGACCCATTTCCCTGCTGACATACCTTTGACCCAGTGGATGCAGCTCTGACTGTTCAAAGGAATGCAGGCCAGAGGAAGCTGCTTTATACATGAGCTTAACTGCCCTCACAAAGCTCAAGCTCTCAGTGTGATGGAATGATGAATGGTGGAAGTAAAGAGCAGTGATGGGGCCGGCATTCTGATGCTAGAGGTTAAAAGGTTCAACAGACAACTGCGTTTGCTAAAGTCCACAGCTTAGTTGAGCTTAAGGGGCTTATCTTGGGATCAGCGAGGGGGTACAGAGGGACCCTGACACATACTCACACAAACTGTAAAACTATAATAATTTTTAAAATGCCATGCAGGCAAGATAAGGAAGAAAATGACACATATAGGGCTTTTATGAGTCATTACTTACATATTATCATTAAATATATTTCACAAGTGATTACCAGTATCCGATTTGTTTTCAAATTGCCCCTTAGTTAGTGCCATTGTTGGATTGAAAGTCAGTTTTTAGTGTTTAGTCATATTTTTAAGCTGATAAATCAACAGAATAACTCAAACATTAACAGCAGTGCATTTGTGAGCTTTTCTGCCATCAAGTCAGTGACACCCTATGGATTACACTGTTCATTTGTTTGTTAGTTCATGTTTGTGATTGTATTTTGTGAACGTCATGCAACTAAATCTGCATGATTCCTCCTGAGAGGGATTGCAAGTAAGAGTGTGCATGTTTTTGAAATAAATAAGTCCAATTTCCTGGAAAGCATGTCATGAATTGTCTAAACTATAGCAGAATTAGTTAAATAATTACAGAATAATTACAGAATAACTAAGAAACAGCAACATTTATCGTATAACATCATTGTATAAAATCAACGAATGTTTTTTTTAGTTTGTGAAATCTCAATATTCTTAAATTTTAAAGATTTGAATGATTTACATAGAAACAACCCCTTTTTCTGTTGTTAATGATGGTGATTATATGTACCTCTGTCGCTAAGCACATATCGCTCTTGCCGAACTGTCTTGTCGTTAGTGCATTTTGAATCTGCCACCTCTAAAAACAGAAAGTAAAAGAGGTTAAAATGCAGCATTCCACTTTAACAATAACAACCTGTGAAGTGTTAAATGGCTACTTGGACAGCAGTCTAGGCAGCACATTAGCTTCTCTTTGCATCTTAAACAGGATAAGCCGATGTAAAGCTAGACACAGCAGGGGAGCCACCTTTATAGGACACTTTGGAAGCTGCTCCTGTAATTTGTCTAACCTCATCACACCAAACATACAAGATGCACTTTTTTTAACATGGTAGAAAAAGCAACCAGTGCTGAAAAAAAAAAAAAAAGCTTAGCAGACACAAAACTTATGCTTTAAGGATAAAACCAGAACCTTTAGGTCCCACAAAGACATTGGTTCAATAGTTGTGTCTGCAATAAAATTAATGTGAAATGAAATTGAACTTTATGGAGAAGAAACAGCTATCCTCCAATCTGGAATCTGTAGCCAAGAAAAGCTCAATGTTTCACCTCTTTCTCTGACTCTGCTGGGCAGGCTAGAGTAGATGTCCTCTGTATGGATGTGAAGGGCTCTGTAGAATTCATGGCATGCCTCTTCGCCTTTTCTGTGCAGGTGCTTCAAGAGGTCTGCTAACCGCACCTTGGTGGGCACACTTAGGTTCCTGAACTGCAGGGAGACACAGGCTGCATTGAGTCACTGCACGCATCTGCACAGTATGCTTCTGTTTTGTTTGTGTAACACAAATAGCTGCAGTGACCCTGTGGGCTTCCTTGTCACTTAGTATCTGCGGGTAGATCCTGTTGAGCTGCAGGACAAGTCTGTCAACCAGCTCAGTGTCCATCCTCTGATCTGAGCACAGGAACTGGGAGTCACTCTGCAGCTGCTCTTGGTAACCATCGGTGTCTAGTAAAGGAAGATTG